TTTTTCTATTTTTAAGGAGTGCTTTGCTTATTCTTGGCTTCTTTCCATTCCAAATGAAGCTGGAGATTGTCTTTTCCATCTCGTTGAAGAATGGGATTGGTATTTGTATTGGGATTGCATTGAACATGTAAATTGCCTTCGGTAGTATTGCCATTTTCACAATATTGAGTCTTCTTATCCATGAGCAAGGGATATTCTTCCACTTCTACAGGTCTCTTTTAGTTTCTTGTAGTAAGGTTTTATAATCTTCTTTGAGTAGATCCTTTGTGCTTCTAGTTATATTTGATATGAGTGATATTTTACAATAATTTCGACACTGTCAGGTCACCTTTTTTTGAGATGAGAACAAAATGGATCTCTTCCAGTCAGTTGGCCAGGTAGTTGTCCTCCAGATTTCTTGGTACAACCTGGTGAACACGTCCAGGGTAGCCCCTATTTGTTGAAATATATCAATTGGTATTCCATCAATTCCTGGGGCTTTATTTTTTCCCAAGTCCTTCAGAGCAGCCTGAACTTCCACCTTCATCACCATTGCCTCTTGATCACATGTTGTTTCTTGAAATTCTTTTGTGTCTGCCAATTCTTTTTGGTACAGTGACTCTGTATATTCCTTCCATCTTTTAATACTTCCTAGATCTTTCAGTATCCTGCCTATACCATCCTTAAGTATTGCAAGTCAAGGCTTGAGTTTGTTCTTTAGTTCCTTTAACTTAAGAAATGCTGAGCATGTTCAGCCCTTTTGATTTTCAACTCCAGTTCTACGCACGTTTCATTTTAATACTTTGCTTTGTCTTCCTTGCTGCCCTTTAAAATCTTCTATTTAACTTCTTGATTTCTTTGTTTTAGTTTCTCGGTGCTCTAGTGCAATATTCAGAATCTCTTCTGACACCATATTGGTATTCTTCTTCTGTCTTTGTAATGACCTTTTGCATTCTTCACGGGTGACACTCCTCATAGCCTTCCGCAGCTCATCTGGTCTTTGTTCATTAGTGTTCAAGTCCTCAAACCTATCACTGAGTTGGCTTTTAAATTCAGGTTGGATAGACTCAAGGTCAAATTTTGATTCCTGTGGATTTGATTTGACCTTCTTTAGTTTAGTTGATGCAATTAGCACCTGGCCTAGTTTTCACTGCTGATATTGAACTTCTCCAATGATTCCTTCCACAGATATAATTGATTTGATCCCTGTGCATACCATCAGGTGAAATCCATGTGTACAGTACCTGCATTTATATTTCTTATAAGAGGTATTTGCTATGAATAAATCATTGATTGTGCAGAATTCTATCATTCTATCCCCAGCCTCATTTCTGTCACCAAATCCATGTTTTCTGACTGCTCATCTGTCTTCCTGGTTCCCAACTTTTGCATTCCAGTCACCCATTATTATTAGTGCATCTTGGTTGCATGTTTGATCAATTTCTGACTACAAAATTTGGTACAAATCATCTATTTTCTCTTCTTTGGCTCTGGTTGTTGGTGCATAAATATGAACGATAGTGGTATTATTAATAGGTCTTTCTTGTAGGCGTATGGATATTATACTGTCACAACATTGTATTTCAACATTGATCTAGAAATGGCCTTTTTAACTATGAAAATTACCCCATTTTCCCTCACTTTTTCATCTCCAGCGTAGTAGATCATATGATTGTCTTATTGAGAATGTCCCATTCCAGTCCATTTCATTTCGCCAATATCTAGTATGTTAATATTTATGTGTTCCGTTTCATTTCAATGATGTACAGTTTTCCTGCATTCATGCTTCTCACATTCCACATTCCAATCATTAGTTTCTGCTTACAAATGTTCCTCCTCCTTTGTATTTCTAAATTTGAGGGCTCAACCTCAGTTGCCATATCTGTTAGTCCACTATATGTGTGCTCTTTTGTACATAGGGTTTTTGAAGGCTTGTTATATTTCAGAAGTGATGGCCAAAGCTGCTTCTTAGCCTGTCTTAATTTGGATGCTTAGTTTTGGAACAATATTTGACAGACAAGCATTTTAGTGAAAGGAACAAAT